AATGCCTTCTAAATTTGTTTTTGAACAGAAAACCCTTCTTGAAGTATGGGAAGAAAAGGTCGTTTATCCAGTATGGAATATATTAACAGCTGGGGCCAGACCAAAGAAAAAAATGTGATTTATTTCTCTGCATTTTTGGCGAAATTTCTGAGTTGACATACTGCATATTACAGTTTGATATTACAAGATTGGAAAAAGATCAGGGTAATCTTGCTAATTGCAGTGGCTCAACTAATAACATTTGACAGTAGATTTACAACTTGTTTTTTGCAGGTAAAGATTTGGGGAGGGGTGGTGAGGGGGAAGCCTTGTATATATGGTTACTATTCCAGTGGTTCCCTTTCCTCTTCGCTGGTAGCAGCTGACTTGTGGCTGTTCTCCTTGTTCTTGTTTCTGGGCTTGGCAGTTCTTGTTTTCAGCCTTGATTTCAGTTTCTCCTATTCTCTTTACTATTGAATATTTTTCTGAGTATTTTGACAAATAGGCCTTTCTCAGGTGAAATCAGTGACCCTAAACATGGGAACCTGGTTTCTACTTCGCATCCTTTTTAGTGGGTCCTACCCTTTACGGTAAATAGCTTGGTCAGGAGGCACCAGTTACCCCCGAGTAGGTCTACACTAAGAATTTGCAGAACATGTTGCATCTTATGCATAGCTTTCGGGGATTACCTTAGGGTTGTCACATCCAGCAAACTGATTTGGACCTACAGGTCATGTTTGTCATAAAAACCATCTGGCAGTGTTTTACTGGTGACTTTGATCAAAATGGTCTCAATAGTGGTATTTGTTCTGAGTCCTAAAGAAATCTGAATTATGAGAACTTTTATTGGTTGCTTAAGAATGGTATTGGGAAAATTAGCTATGCTGAGGTGTCACCCTTTTGGGGTGAATATATCTTTTTTTATACCACTGTTAGCTTTCTGGTAGATGGGAATTATAGGTGCTGCCAGACAGGGGGGAGGAGGGGGAACAACCGTGCTTTACTGGAAGAAGCAGTGTGTTAGTTTGATCTGGCTTTACAGGGTTTGTTTAGATTGGGTGCTTCAGTGGGGCTTTTTGGTGCTTTTAGCTAAAGCCAGTTCAATCAGCTATTAGATAAAGGCCCCACTAAAGACTCCAATCTGTATAGATGTTGAGTGAGCTGGGTTCAACTGACGTTGTGTGTCTTCTGGGCGTGCACTGGGTTTGGTGTAGGGATTCATGGAGTTTGAAGTCAAGTGCTGGTTTATTAATTAATTAATTTTTTACATGTGTAAGCAGCCAAAATGTCTCCTGTACAAGTTATTTTTGGGGCAATTTCTTAGCCTTTTCTGTAGGCCTTTAGTTTAGCAGCCCAAATTTTAAACACACACTGGGATACAATATTTGGCCTGTCTCTCTGAGGGTTACCCTGCAGGTATGGACTTGATCTTGGGACTGGCTTGGTCCCAGCATCTGAGCTCTCACAAGTACAGTCAGGGAGGTTCACTCCTAAAAACATGTTTCCTCAAAGGACTATCCAGACAATAACTTTGGCTACAGAAGAGCAGCCAAGATGGGAGCACTTTTATTCTTCTCTTGTGTTTCAGTACTGTGGCATGGCAATATGTACAACTTCTGTTGCATTAGGTGGCAAGGTAGCTGAGGGGATGGCAAGTTTTTATATCCACCTGCTTTGTTTAGTTGTGTGGGTTTTTGTTTACAGCTGTTATAGTTACTTTAGACTTGGATTGGAATCCAACTATGTTGCTGCAAAGGGATGCCCTTAGTGACTACTTTTTCAGTCTTTTGCTGTAATAGAGGTGTAAATCCCCTGCCTTAGCTGTTGCAAGAAATCCAATTAACAGGCAAAAAAAAAGGTATCCCTTTTAACCATGGACCTGTCATTGGAGGTATGCTGTGGACTTCAACACTTAACTGCTCTCTTTGATTAAATTATAAATGAAAGTAGCTGTTACTCTTGAAACTTGCCACTCCAGTTTGCACTTCTCTGTGTAAGCTGTAATTTAAATTCCTATCTCCTGTCTTAGTGTCTAGCTGTGCAAGAGGTAGACATGCAAGTCCAGGCTTTGTGGATTTACCCCCACTACAATGGTATCCTTTAACATGACATTTGACCTGGTTTAATTGAATGTTTGTGCTCTTCAGACAGCTGCATTTCGTAGCACAGCCACAAGACAGCTTTATAACTGTCTCTGAAGACTTGTAATGGACAAAAAGTGTGAATCCCAAGCTTTCTGTGCTTCAGAACAGGTCTGCTCAACTCCCCATGTGTCAGATGCCACAGGTCTCTCCAGCCCACATGTTACAGGACCCATCCCTGGCTGCAGCCTCCCTACTGGTGCATCATATGGATGCCCTGCAAGTCACCTGGGTCTGGTCAGCCAGGCTGCCCTGTCCCTCACCCAGGGATGGGGACAGGATGTTGAAGCTGGGAGGGGGAGCTTGGAAACTCCAGTGGCAGCAGCAGGGGACAGCAGTGGGCTAGGGAGGGAGTGTGATTGTGAGTTAAGGCCTTGCAGCCTGTGTGCAGCCCAGACTTCCAGCTGCATATCCCTAGCTTAAAACAATTACTTAAAGTTTGAGGTGAGCATGGGAACAGAAGAGTGTGCATTCACACTCCTTATTTCACTTTTAGTAAAAGATTTAATGCTTAGTCGATCCTTAGAAGGATCACTTTAACACCTGCCTCCTTAAAAAGACAAGTTTTTTAACGTAGCCAGTAGTTCAACATCCTGGGAGACTTCATCCAAATGGAGCATGTTTGAAAGCTGAGTGGCTTCAGAGACCACCCTGTCACACTGGGAACCTACTCTTTTAATTTGGAAGGGCTCGAACATCTCTCTTGAGTGTGGCACATAGGAAGGTCTAAAAATAGACAAGTGTCATTTGGGTCCTGTTTGGTCAAAACTAATACCTTAAACTCCATCTCCTGAGTTGAGGTAATCTTCAGTAGCCACCTTGCCAGCTACCTAACAACTTAACACTGTATCTAGCATCCCTACAAACATAACACTTACTTAAAACTTACTTAAATAGGAGCTCGACTAACCCATCCACTTGTTAGCCCCCATCCCTCTCCTAGCCAGAGAGATGCATGTGATAGTTCCCTGACCTGACTGATGCCAACGTAATCCATAGCTGACATCTGTAATGCTGGAAAATCTGGTGCATCGGCATCATGTTAAGATCTGGTGTTCAGGTAGGTTGTGGCTACTTATATGCAGCTGGTTGTTTCTGTGTAGAGCCACATGAGGCTAATTAACGTTAAAACAAGTAAATCATTGCATGGTGAGAATCAGGTAAAATCTGAAAAATCTAGAGGTCTGATGATTTAGTTTTTCCTCCCAAGACTGTGCAGTTCATAATTATGTTTAGGAATATTACTCTGGGGCATGTGTTGTTATATTAACTTTGCTAGCAACTGTGCCTTGTTCTGGCTTGTAATGGAATAAGCACTGTCTATTACTGTGCAGAGTTGTACAAATGCTGCCTCAAGTTCAAGTCTCTGTGTTCTTACCTTAAAAATAGCCTAGTTTGTGTTTAAAAAAAAAAAAAAACCAACAAAAAAGACTTCTCTTTAAAGAGAAGATGCTTCAAACGGACATCTAAAAATAGATTTTGTAAATTCAAGCATAAAACTTAAACATAAAACTGGTGGAAATTTTCCAATAAGTGTAACAATTCTGCTAGAAGTAGTACTTAAATAATTTCCTTGTAGTTTTTTTCAAACAGGCTCTTCTCATTTGGAAACCCTGTTTGTCCTATGGGTTTTGGATACCCTCAAGAGCCATTGAACCCTAATGTGAAGTGTTAATACAAATTTCACTGCTCCATTTTCATTAGTTTTTATAGGAAGGAAGACTCATTTAGTGTCAGGCATGGAGAACCATTTCCATTACAGCAAACATGTTTATGTGTTGTTATACCTTTTAGTTAAGCTCGGTGAGGAATTGTATTATTGAGGTGCAGATATCCAAGGTCCCTAGATTTTACAAGCTACTATCCTTGTTTCTTCCATTAAAAAAACAAAACAAAAAAAAGACTTTATGCTTATTCTTGCTGAATGGTGTTTAGCCACTAGAAACATATATCTTCCCTTCCTTTCAATCTACCCACTTGTTCTTTCAAACCTATAGAACTTTTCCTTTCCGTTTCATTTTAATTAGCAAAATGCCCTAATGTTTTACGTGTATTATAGGAGGCAGATGTAAAAATAGCTTTCGCTTGGGCATACAGACCTTTAAAAGTGTATTTAGGTTTATGCTGACTCTACGTTCTGGGTTAGATTTTTCCTTCCTCTCCCTTAATCTTTATATTTGTGTGTAAAAACATTTTAAAAATAAATTTATCATTAGTTGGCTGATTATCAAATTAGTAGTGGGGTCATTGTAATTATTTAACACCTTCAATTGATTACTTGTACACTTTTCAAAGGGCATTTCTGGTATCCAAGATGATCTTTTAATAAAATTCTGATCTACTAATTTAAGTGACCTGTTCTTACGTGTGTATTGTACTTTTATATATAAAATGTGCCATATAAATATGCCTTTATATATTTACATAGACATACAGTATTTTTTTTGAAGGCAGCTATGCTCATCTCCCAGCATCATTTATAAAGTCATCTTATTTCTGAGCCTCCACCCATTTCTCAGTTAGTAACTGCCACCATGGCAACTCTTTTGGTTGAACAGATGGGACACTGAGTCTCATGGAACAGCCTTAGTTGCTTTTTGAGACTGAGCTGGCAGTTTGAACTTGGTTCTAATTTTTTTTTTTATAATTGTACTCTTTCTAATCACAGTGCAGTCCAGTAGGTATCTAATCTCATAAGTAAAACTGCAAACTGAGATTCATAGAGTAGTTTACATTAACAGAATTTAGTGGCAGAACGCAAAGAATGTTCATACTTGGAAAGAGGAGCCTGGCCTTGTCTGTCCTGTGAACCAGCAGGATACACGTAGACTTTGCTTGTCTTGTGGAATGGTTGCTATCAACTTTTTTCTTTCTCTTTAGGATGCGTCAGGATGAAACGCCACAGGCATCTAAGCACCAGTGACAGTTCAGACAATGAGAGTAAGTAATACGTACTAGTCTTTGCTTGGTCTGTCACCCCCTGTGGTTTCCTTTTATAGTTTGAAGGTAAACTGCTTTATCTCCTGTAATGTTTTGTTTTGTTTTTTTAAGTTTGATTTATTTGCCTTTTGCTTTCTCTAGACTTCAGTATTATGAGCTTTATTGTTAGAGATGATTAATAATTTCAGGAGGAGAGTTTGAGTCTAGTGCAGAATTTAAGTATAAATGTATACATCCTTCCCCTTTACTAGTGGATTTTTTAACCAAATACTGATTTACAAAGCAAATCTATAAAGTGGTCTTCTGCTCCCACAGTGTCTCAGTGGAGAACTTGTGATGGCAGAAGTAGATAACCATTTGAGCGATTTGAGATAAGATACTTTAAACTGGTGTACTTCAGGATTATTTTTATTATGTGAAGTGTGTCTAGACTAGAAGTACACTGATATATTGGTTGCATATTGGATTGGCACTGGTAAAAGGAAAAGTAACATTATCAGCTTATTTTGGTTGGTGTAGACAGTAATGTCGCTGATAAATACAATATGCCTTCTGGCCAGGGCCCCTAGGTGCTGCATGCGTGCATGCAGCTGCAGCATGCATGTGGCCAGGAATGCAGCCAGGCAGCCTGGACTGCAGTGCCCCTGCAGGTATGTCTGTGGAGGGGAAAGGGTGTGGGGAAAGGAAGGGGCATGGTGGGGGAGACCAAGACCTCAGTGGTGAGGGAGGGAGTTGGGTAGGGGCTGGGGGCGCTGCCCAGGCAGGGTGGTGAATGGGACTCCAGGGAGTGGGATGGAACCATGGACGAGTTGTACAGGGGCACAGAGTGTGGCGGAGGCAGGGGCGGCTCCCTGCCACTACTCGCATTCCCAGCGGAGGCATGATTGTGTGTGGGGGAGAGGCAGGCTGCCCACTATGAGCTTGGGGCTCTCCACTCTGCCTTTGCCCTGGGAGCTGCACTCTGGCTGTGCATGCCCTGCCCATCCAGCAGCAGTGGTGGTGACAAGTTGTGCCTTCTGCTGCTAGGCAAGCAGGGAATACAGTGCAGCCAGGGCCTGCCCCAACCCCGCTCTCTCCCTCCCTGCTGGGACCTGGATTTGCCCCCCCTCCCCCTGCCCCCACAGACTTACCTGCTGGGGGGTCTTGTACATGCATGCCTACACACTTAGTTCCTCCCCCCAATAATTTTTTTCCTTCTGCCTGTGGTAATTGGCTATCGGTATAGGCCAAGAACATCTTTATTGGTGCATCCCTGGTCTAGACCATATCAATTGGGCATTAAATAAATGTCAGCCACTCCATACAGAGTTGCTTCCTTTGCCCCCCTCATCCTACAGATCAGCTTTTAGGATTGAAACCTCCTGAAGTGGTAAGACTGGTTACCAGGATTTGTAATAATGTATGTCTTGATGATTCCATGAATACTTTGGTTGGTTGCTGCTAGAGGTGCACTGATACATTGGTCTGATATTGGATTGGCGCTGATATAAAGAAAATTGGCTGTATTGGAAATGGGCCTGATTTGGCTGATAAATGGCCTGTGCATGTGCACAGCTTCAGCACAGTAAGTAGGTGGCGAGGAGCACAGCCTGTGCGCAGCTGGTAAGTCTGTTGTGGTGCGAGGGAAGGAGTGTGGGGGTGCAGATCAATGCTCCTCCCTCCACAGTGAGGGAGGGAGTGGGGCTGAGGCATGCACTGGGGTGGGGTGTGGGACAGAGCTATGGCTTGTCCAGTGGGGGGTGGCTCCTGCTGCTGCATGCATCCCGGGAGGGCCAGTGCCCCCTGGATCTATGTTGGATGAGCCGCGGTTGTGGGCTGGGGCTGTGCTGGGCTCTTCCTGGCGGGGGCTGAGCTGGGCTGTGCTTGGGGTGGGTGGTGTTGGCGCTGGGAGGAGGGGTTGAGGGGGCTATGGCAAATTTGGGGGGGGTTGCAGCCTCCCCATAGCCCCCTTCCAGTGTCTCCACTGCCCACCGCAAGTGCAGCCTGACCCAGCCCCTACTGGAAAGAGCCTGGCTGCAGCCTGCCCTGCTGTGCCCCACGAAGATATGGGGGACACCTCCCCCCGTGCCTTCCTGGGGTGTGTGCAGTGGTGGGAGCCATCCCCTTCCCTCCCTGAGCCCCCTGGACAAGCTGCAGCTCCATGCCCCACCCTGCCCTGCCTGGGCAGAGCCTGCCCCAGACCCACTCCCTCCCTCACAACGGGGGCCTTGATCTGCACCCCCCCTTCCCCTTCCACCACAACAGACTTACCAGCTGCACACAACTCTCCATGCTATGTCAGAAATTGGATCACTGTTGGCCTATATGCCTCCTAAAAAAATGGCTATTGGTGTTGGCCTCCAGAATCCCTATTGGTGCATCCCTAGTTGCTGGATTTTCTATTATATTGGCATATGCAGATGTTTTGGGACAGGGACTTTATCAGTTTTTGTAAAGTACAATGCCCATCTGTACTTTCTAGGTAATGAAATTGTATTTTTTCTTTTGATTTAATAAATGTTTCACACAATGACCCAGCATCCCAATGAAAATTGCTGTACATTGTCAGGGTATTGTATCATAACTCTTGTGTGCCAGGGCACCTTAATTTAACATTATTTTGTTTTTGTAGTCTCTCCTTTATTCTTGGAACTGTTTATTCTTTCCTCCTTCAACAGACTTTCTGTACTTCTTACCCCTTCTTACTTATTGTCTTTATGGAATGGGAAGAGTAAAAGGGCACTTGCATTTTTACTTGAACTTTGTGCATGTCAGGCCAAGCAGGGTGCTCTCATGTGATCAATGTGTCATTCTTTCTAGTCTCAGAAAGAACAAATAGCAGGCATTATGATCAGATCTACAGATTTCATGAGAATGTTTTGCATACAGCTATTTAAGGAAGTTGATTTCTTGGTAGTTAAAGTGCCTTGTCGTTTATGGAGAACTTATGTGAAATTCAGTGGGTTACAAACTGAGGTCTTTAATAAAGAAATAAAACTTTTTTTGTTTGTCTTGAAACAGGTCCTTCCACATCCTTTTCTTCTTGTTCTAAGTATAGGAGCAAATCAAAAACACCATCAAATGAACAAAAGAAACCTGCTGAGGTGAGAACAAATGGTTAAAGTCTAGATTTGTCATGCAAACAATCTGGCTAATGTGTATCATTTTTATTTTATTTTATTTTTTTGTCTCAAGCCTTGAGTTGGGGGGGGGGGCATAGGGAAGAAGGATTGTCCTTGTGAACTGTAAATGTCTAAATTTGAAATTCTATATTTCCAGGATGCAAACAAGGAAGCTTTGAATTGTATCAGGGAGGCAGTGTTGCTTTTATTGTCCTAAGTAACTGTCAGGGCTGCAGGTGGTAAGCCCTACCTCGTTTCTCCGATGGTTAATTCAGTTTGAAAGTGAAAAACTGTCTGTTTTGGTGATGAGTGAGTGTCAAAGGGGGAAGTGGTTTTTTGGAGGGTAATGCAGACTGATAAAGGGGATGCTGCCTTCCCCTTTCAGAATGAAGCACTGGGCCATTTTAAAGGACAAGAAAGGAAAGAGCCATGTTTGCTCTTTGTGCACAGTGGTCTCTTTGGTCTGAACATCTCCCCTATAAATGGCACTCTTTTCTGCCATCCCCTGCTACTGCCTGCCCTCCCTATACATCTGCTACCAGTTTACTCCTGTCCTCCATTTCTCCTGCAAAATTAACCAGGCACCTGACCTGTCATCCAGTCCATCTTTTGCCTTCTCAGGAACATTAAACCTCTTTATTCCCAGGCTGAGAATAATTCTACCTTGTAGCTTGCCTCTTGCTCTTCCTGTCCAGAGTAAGGATGTGCATAGACCTCTTCCCTTTTTCCTATCAGGTATTTTTTCCCTTCCCCAGCCCAACCATCTAATTCTGTTTTCTATATTTTAGAGTAGTGGACCTGGCATTTATGACCAGGCTGCATCATGGGACACCACTTCCCTCTGATGGGGAGGGGAGAGGGAGAGAAAGGGGAAGGAGGTGGCCTGCTGCTGGGTATGCAGCTGGGTTTGGTTTTCATCAGGTACTGTAAGTGTGTCAAGGTGGGGCTTAAGGGTACTGGCTCTTGGCTGGGCACCAACATCTTTCCCCAGGTTTCCCTCGTAGCCTTTAGCTCTGGCATTTTCATGGGCAGAATCCAAGGATGCGATGCAGAGCCTGAGGCATGTCTGACCCCTGCCCTCTGCTGTGGGCAGCAGGACTGTTAATGACTGCCTCCAGTACAGGCCTGCACTGGGCAGCAGTGACAGCAGGTCACAAGGATGGAGCGGCAGCAGCCCAGGAAGTCCCTTGTCCTTAGTGGAGCTGTAGTTGGTGCAGGATCCAGGGCTGGAATAGCGGCCGTGGCCCTGGGAAAGGAAGAGTGGGCTGGGGTCACTTGGTCCCTGAGTTAATTCTTCTCCAAGCAGATTCAAGCACCTTCCCACCGTAGCATCCCTGGGCAGAGTGTCTCCTGTCATTGGAAGTCACCAGGGCTTGGCAGCCCAAAGCAATGAGTCTGGGTGCCTGCTCTGTCACAAACAGCTGTGGTCCCTGTGCTAAGCTGGCTTCTGTGCCCAGGGCTGGGTGGCTTGGCAGGGCTTTGGCAACCCTTAGTGTTCTTTCCCTGCGCTGTGTAGCTGTCCCTCCAGTACTGAATATGCAGTCTGGCCCTTATCCCAGTGGACACAATGCTGCTGAGCTCCTGCTCTGGGGTGGCCTGCAGAGTGTAGGTTGAGCACCACTGCTCTTAACTTTGGCCCTCAAGAAGCAGGAGCATATGTAGCAAGAAAGGACTAGCTGCAGGTGCCTAACGCTCTGCTTTGGTAGTGCTGAATACAGTTGACCATACAGCAACCTATGTTCACTGCTCTTCATAGATCTCCAGTTCAGGTGCTGTAGAACCAGGCTCCGGTGACTGTCAAAGGTGGCAGCAGCTGTAGACACACCAGTCGGCAAGCAATACTGTAGCACAGCCTTTCCACAAGTATTTCTCAAATAGCTGACAGCTGTGGCTTTATTGGTAAGACTTTGTTCCATTAGCCCCTGCTGGCCAGCTTGCCTGTTTGAAAGCATCTCCAAGTGTGACATCTTTGTTGCATGTTAAAGCAGACTAATTATTACGGTCACAGGGAATTGTGTGAACCACTTGTGACCAATTCTACCTGCCCTTCTCTTCCTCCTCCCTCCCCCACCTGCAGGGGGGAAAAAACTGCACACACAGTGTACATGTCAGTATGACTATTGGTGGCCAAAAGTAGTGTGAACTGATAGCAGGGAAAAATGTGTTGTTTCTATACAATTTCAGCTGTGAATCTCTGGTTTATCAGCAGTGGTGCATGCCTTTACCAAATAATTCCTCTAAGCCACTCGGATCTTCTTGGGCTAAGGATAATGTAAGTGCCTAGATTGCATTCATCCACAAAGATCTGTGCAGTGGATGCCTTAGCTCTTGTTGGGAGCACAGACAAAATGCTGACTACTTTTCTGTGACTATCCCAGCGTCTGCATACCCCTTGTGAAAAGTTAAGAGCAGGTGCAAGTCTCTTGATTTAAGTAGTGCTACTGACTGAATCCATTTGCTTTGATGTGAAATGTTATTGTCCAATATAGTACAGGTTGACCTTTTTGGCAGGCATGCCACAAATTATCCCAGGACCCTCTGTCAGTGCCGTTCCAATCTCTTTCTGCTGCTCTTCTTTCTTTGGCTCACCGGAAGCAATCGGGAACATCTCCTAGCTAAAAGGAGGTGTACACCCAGTGGAAGGGAGGGGCATCACCAGGGAGGACTCTGTTGCTTGGGGCTGCAGGGGTGCAGTCAGGAAGGCCAAGGTGGAGATGGAACTGGGACTAGCTACCTGGATCAAGGATGACAAGAAGTCCGTTTTTAAATACATAGGGGGTAAAAAGAAGGTACTGGGCAACATGGGGCCTCTGCAGGACATGCTAGGAAATCTGGTGGTCGCAGCAAACAGCAAAGCTAACCTATTTAACAATTTCTTTGCCTCCATTTTCTGGAGCAGGGACCGGGTCATCCTCCCCGCTGGGACCCCCGTAAACCCCAGGGAAGGTGCACCTAGGCCAAGGGTGAGTGAGGATCTAGTCGGGAAACTTCTGGAGGGACTGGATGTATTCAGATCAGCTAGTCTGGACAATCTCCACCCCAGAGTGCTGAGGGAATTAGCGGAGGTCATTGCGGAACCCCTGGCACGACTTTACGAGCACTTGTGGTGCTCTGGTGTGGTGCCAGAGGACTGGAAAAGGGCCAGTGTGGTTCCCATTTTCAAAAAAGGGAGGAAGGAGGACCCAGGAAACTATAGGCCAGTTAGTCTTACCTCGATCTTGGGTAAGATTGTTGAGAGACTTATCCTGGCACATGTCCATGAGGGGCCAGCAGGGGAGATTGTTTAGGGGCAGCCAACATGGGTTCATTCGAGGCAGGTCCTGTCAGACCAACCTGGTGGCCTTCTACGACCAGGTCACAAAATCCTTGGATGCAGGTGTTGTGCTGGCATAGTCTTTCTGGACTTTAGGAAGGCCTTCGACACCCCGTTCTCATTAAAAAAAACTAGGAGACTGTGGTGTTGATACCTACACAGTCAGACAGGTCACTAATTGGCTGGAAGGCTGCACCCAGAGTGGTGGTGGGCGGGTCATTTTCGACCTGGAGGGATGTGGGCAGTGGGGTCCCCCAGGGCTTGGTCCTTGGGCCTGCACTGTTCAACATCTTCATCAGTGGCTTGGACAAGGGGGTAAAAAGCACCCTGTTCAGATTTGCAGATGATACTAAGATGTGGGGGGATGTGGGCATGCTAGAAGGGAGGAATAGGCTTCAATCAGACCTGGACAGGTTACAGGGGTGGACGGATGAGAACAGGATGGGTTTCAACACTGACAAGTGCAAGGTGCTGCACCTGGGGAGGAAGAACCAGCAGCATACCTACAGGCTGGGGAACTCCCTTCTCATCAGTGCAGAGACAGAAAAGGATCTTGGAATCATTATTGATGCCAAAATGAACATGGGCCAACAATGTGGGGACGTGGTCAGGAAGGCCAGCTGTACCTTGTCATGCATCCACAGATGCATCTCGAGCATGTCAAAGGAGGTGGTCCTCCCCCTCTATGCGACACTGGTCAGGCCGCAGCTGGAGTACTGCGTCCAGTTCTGGGCGCTGCACTTCAGGAGGGATGTGGACAACATGGAGAGGGTCCAGAGGAGGGCCACTTGCATGATCAGGGGATCATCATCATCATCAGGGCAGGCCCTACAAGGAGAGGCTACAAGACCTGAACCTGTTCAGCCTCCACAAGAGAAGACTGAGGGGGGATCTAGTGGCCTGTTACAAACTAGTCAGAGGGTCCAGCAGGCATTGGTAGAGTCCTTGTTCCCCCGAGCACTACCAGGAGTGACTAGGAATAACGGTCACAAGCTGGCAGAGGGTAGATTCAGACTAGATATCAGGAAGCGCTACTTCACAGTCAGGGTGGCTAGGATCTGGAACCAACTTCCAAGAGAAGTGGTGCTGGCTCCTACCCTTGGGGTCTTTAAAAGGAGGCTAGACTAACACCTTGCTGGGGTCGTTTAACCCCTGTAGTCTTTCCTGCTATGGCAGGGGGTTGGACTTGATGATCTGCTCAGGTCCCTTCCAACCCTACTAACTATGAAACTATGCTCCCAGCCCTGTGCTCCCTACCCAGTCTGCTGGTTTGCTTTCACTTCCTTCCCTTTTCTCCCTGCCCAGTTTGCTGCTTTGTTTTCTGCCTAGGTCCCACTGTGCTGCCTCTTCGCTCCCTGATTTGCCATGAGCCATGTCCTCTCCTTGCCCCTGCCATTTGTGATACCTGTGCTGTAGGTTGGTCTCCCCTGGTCTCATTATGATATACACCATACACGCAATTTTTTTTTTAAGTTTAGTTTTCAGCAGATGTTAATTGAAGTCCAGAGATGTGCCGATACATATTTTAAAGGAACATTTTGAACATAAGCCAAAGCTATGTAGTGGCCTGTTGCATGCAACCGCTAAGAAGGCAAACTATTTTTTTTTAATTTTATTTTATTTTACTTTTTTGGGTTAGATGTTCAGCACTTAATACCCTCATGGAATC